AACATCGTAGGTATACAATAACAGTAACAGTAAGAAAAGAAAAAACAGTGAGTATTGAAAAATAATGTACTGAATGGTTGAGGAATAATAATAATAATAATAATAGTAATAATGATAACCATAATAATAATAATGATAATAATAATTTACATACTGACCATGCCCTATATTACTTATCTTTAGATGTTTCAAACTTTTTTAGAAAAAAAAAATTTTATTGTTATAAATAAATAATTTTGTAACAATTTATAGTAACTGTTATTGTTATTTAAGTTTTGTATGATTGATTAGAACCATATCTTGCAACTATGGCACGTGCAGGAGGAAAACGAAGCAACAGTAAGTTATAACAAATTATTAACGTTGATTGCACAGGTCCTCCAATTATTTATATAAAGTGTCAATATGCGTAATCTTAAAATTATTAAAAGCTACCCCATATTTAAGGTGATAGTCCAGTAAAACGACTAGATTATAAATTTTTTTTTAATTTTGCCTGTGGCTTACGTTTGCTACACTTCATCACGAGTCCAAATTTGGAGATGCCTAGCCGTGTAGTTTTGGAGATATTAAAGTTTTACTGTTGATCTTTCAACGCGTGAGGGATAAAAAAGCGCCTGGTTTGGGGTAGGATTCTAAACGAAATCATTTATAACTCCTAAACGAAACGATCAATCCTTTGAAAAAAACGATGTGCTATAATTGATATTATAAATAAACTAAATACCAAGTCTCAAGAAGCCTAGCCATACAGTTTTTGCATTTCAGATTTCCAAAGTTTAAAACTATCGTGTAGTTCCGTAAGAGGGACAATGACAGCTGTACAGTAAAGATTGCATAACCTATGCATACTCTATAGTGCAGTATGCCACACGATATACCTAACTGAACTACTACCTTAAAAAAAATTATCAATTTATCTTACGTCGTTCCCGAGATATCGTTATTTTTTATGCGCATTTTCATTTTGAACGCGGCTGCTCGGAAATCCTGGAGTCATGATGGAAAGAGTAAGCGTGGCCTAAGTGGGCGGCTCGCTGCGCCGCCGCACCCACGAAAAATAGCCGCTTTTTGACATCGATTTTTCGCACACTTCCGGAATGTCGAACGGAACGACATTTTGGTAGATTGTAGAATAACTCTCGACGAGTACAATGCCATTTGAAAAATGGCAATATGTTGAAAAACCAGCCACGTCCAACTTGTTTGTGGAAGGACCATTTTTTGCTTCTTGCAGCAGTTTGCAAAAAGTTTGCAACCGATCTTCTTGAAATTTAGTGTGGATGTTAAGGGGCACAAGATCTTCCTTGTATTCAGTTTTCAAGTCTTAATATTTGAAGGAACGCGAAGTATAGATTTTTAATGAAACGGTCCTACGTAGCACTTTTTTGGAAATTGGGAAAAAACGGCTGGACCGATTTTATCCCACCGGAGCTCATTTTCTTCGTCTTGAAATTGCGCATCTTTTTTACCACCAACATAACTTTTTTTATCCGACTCTCCAGTTCTTTTCTAGACGCGAAAAACCATTTTTGACCACATTTACCATGTTTTTGGGCCGTTAGCTGACACAGTTGGAGTCTAAAACTATTTGTATTTGTTCAGAAAACGAATAACTACCACCATGATTTTTTTCGTGCCAATAGCAATTTACTTTTTCGAAAAGCTAATTCTATCCTACTACGGTGTTAAGTTATTAAAATAGATATAAAAAAGTTAAATTGGTGAGATATACATTTTCTCTGATAAATCCTTTTACTTAGCGCAGAATAATTCCAGGCACTTTAAATTTTATGTATGTTTTTTGATGATGGTTTATTTTGTATACACATTAGTCCCATCAAGGGTAAGAAGTTACAATAAAAAGAGTGTTAAATGGCTTGAATAGTAGATGATAATGAATAATTTATGCAAGCCCATGGTTATGCTGCCAAATTTTTCCCCTTCTAACGATTAGTTATTTGAACTTTTTCCGTATAAATCAGTAATTAGTGAGTGCTTAAGTACGCAAGTATGAAGTTATACTTCTCTGGCAGATATTATATGAATATAGATGAACATTTTACGATACAATACATTAAATAATCCACTGTGATAAATCAAAGGTGATGAAATTATCTGTGAAGTCTAGATATACTGTAATACGGTATAGTTTCAATACATATTTTAGTATTCAATAAATGAAAAAACATAAAAATATTATATTTATAGCAACTTTGTTGAAGGAAGATCTTGTGCCCCTTAACATCCACACTAAATTTCAAGAAGATCGGTTGCAAACTTTTTGCAAACTGCTGCACGGTGGGTAAGATACTCGGCTCGTATGACAGAAAGTCAAGGGTTCAAATCTCTTGGAAACTGTTTTTTTTTTTTTAGAATTGTAGAAGAAAAAAATTCAAAGTTGAATAAAAGTTATTGTGGGAAAAAAATTATGACTCAATGAAACATTAATTGCTTGGTGTAGTGTGAAAGGAAATAGCGGGGCGAGGCAAAACGGGAAGTAATGAGAGGAGGTGTGCAGGAAACTAGAGCAGCACGGTCGGAAGAGACAGGGTGAGGGGAAGTATGTAGGGGACTGGTGGTGAGGGTGATGGGGTAAGGGAGAAATATAATAAATTAGGAAGAAGAGACTTCCGGTAAGCGACTTCCGTTTCATGAAAATCTGTCGTTTTTAAAACTCTAGCCCCTCAAGCACGTGACATAAATAACTTTGTTCTAAAAACCTGTCTTCAGTAGAATTAATTGAAATAATAACTCTCATCGCTAGATTAACCTCAGGGAAACATACTTTTAATCATACCTTGGCATATAGCCTCCATGGTGACGAATACTACCATTTCTCACGATGGGCACAAAGTGCAACTGCCACTTTGCGCCCTTGTAATCACTTTGGGCCGATGGGCAGAAAAGTTTTCTGCGCCCTCCAGGCCTAAAGTACTTTTCTGCCCTAGGGCTCAAAGTAATTTACTGATCGCATAGTGCGCCTACGGGCACAAAATTGCACTTTACACACTCGACAATAATGGTACATTACGTCACTAGAGTGCAAAATACAAACATGTGCGCCCGAAGGGCTATTTTGCGGCCAGAGGGACGTAAGGTAGCCACAGAGCTATGGCACTTATTGGTTGAATCATAGTTTTCCAACCGAGGGCACACCCGATCCTCAAAAACGCCTGAGGTCGAAAAAATACTTTTTTTTCTTAGGGCGCAAATTGTGCTCATTGTGCAAAATTGCACTTTCTGTCCTCGATAAGAAAACAACATACGTGACTCATGCACAAACATACAACAACCGTCCTCTACGAGCGCTCAAGTTGGTACTTTCCCTCCTAGAGACGTAATGTACTAGTACTCTTTAACTTACCTAAAATCATTTGGATAACTCAAAAGTGTTATACACATAATTCTAGTCTAATGCTAATGAAATATTTATTTTTGAACTAAAACTGATAAACTTTTTTTTTCCCAAAATTTTTGTTAAAACCTGCAGTGCGTTAATAAAAAATTGAGAATAGTATATTACGCCATAAGGGACGAAAGAATGGGATTCGTGAACCAAAGATAAAGGAGGCAAACACTCGGAGGCCGATACCATACTTTCGTCCCGTGTACCCGCGTAAAAATTGTAATTTTGGCCAAACTTAAAATTTTTATGTGGGTAGCGTATACGGTTTTTTATCTTCCTCCATCGAAATATGACGCTTTTTCTACGGTTTCAAGAGAGAGAGAGAGAGCGCAACATAATCTCCCAGGTAAAACTTACGTTATCCGCCTACTAGAAAAATATTTTGGCATACTCTGCGTGGAAATTTCTTTTCGATCCGTAGGCGACGGTGGCAAACACACAGATTGTGGCAAATACCTCGCAGACATGTTTTGCTTGCGTTCCTGAAATCAGGAAATAAATGACTTTCAGCAGTGGTGTAGTAAAAACATTTTTTCATTCCGAAAACCCTGAACAGCATCGCGTGGGAGTATAGTTAACAATTTTGGTAATAAATAGTATATTATGTGACAAAGGCGCAAAATACGAGATTAAGTATTCGAAGGGCACAGTTGCTGAATATTTATGCCCTAGTCACTTATATTCTTTTTGTTACCAAGGGCAAACAGTGCAATTTTGCACCTGTAGGCACATTAGATAGGGTAAAAAGTAAGTGATAACTGGGGTGCAAAGTGCGACCCAAAGGTGAAAAGTGTTGGTTTCACTGTACGCCTTAGATAACCAAAGTATCATTTTTTGAGCATGGTAGAAGAAGCTGCTTACATTGTAGAAGTTTTATTGAATAGGTTACCGGCGCGTGCAGTTAAATTCAAAGTGTACTTAACACGATCCAGTCATGGCTAGAAGTTTGCAGAATAGGGCTGTGAAAAATACGGATAGTGTTCACATTATTTATCACTCTTTTTCTTTGTTATGATAAAGGATGCTGCACTTGACTACTATTTTACAAATATATATATGTAACTGTTTATTTAAAAGCTACTTTCTTAAAATAAAAACATATGCCCGAGTACACTACTCTACTGCATTTCAAGCTGCAGTATCTCTAAACTTATTTTGCTGTAATAATTACGTGGAGTATGTATTACGCCACTGACTACAGTACCTCACTAACATTTCCAAGATAATGCAAATTTTGCAGGTTATGCATATCGTTTGCATCACGTAGTGGTCTAAATTATTGTACATATATACTGCACCATTTGGAAAAAGTACTGTTTACCTCATACAAGCATGTGAAGTATCTTTGAAAAAGTGTAAATTGAATTTTATATGCATCTACGGAAATTAATTATTTTCTAAACAAGTCTAAAAGGCTTAACTAAAATCATAATTTATTTAAATTTATTTACGAACATTTTATAATTTATGGTCCATAGAATGATCCCATACATAACGGTTAACCTTGTGATCTGTAACAAATTAATCTCCGTAGATATACATTCCTGAAAAATTGTAATAATTGTTTTTTGATTTTCTGTTTGTGTTTTAGAAGCACCAATTAAAAAAAGATATCGATGCACTTCAATTATTGGTAGCAAATAATCCTCTCAATAAAACGTACAAAAAAGACCTTGAAATTTACAGAGCTAAATTTTTTAAATTAGCTCACAGGAGTCCTGTAAGTTCTATGGAAGTAACTACTGTTTGCAACTTTCTAACTTTATTTTTAAAACTATGATTAGTAAGGTTATAATTTGAAGCTTAAAGGCAATAAAAAATACAAATTAGAATCCTGTTTTCAATATCATGAAAAAAGTTTTCTAAACCATCGGTGGAAATTATACTACAACATATTGATACATATTTTGTTCAGGGTTACCAGATCAAACTGTCGAAAATCAAGATGCTTAAATATTTTTTTATGTCACTATAAAAAAAAAGTCATCTATTCAGTAATTAATAAAACTACAAGAAAATTTAATAGCCTCACACAGACAAACCGTAGTCAAACTAATAATACTTTTTAATATACTGATTTGATACAATTAGTTTAAATTATACGGTTACATTAAATATTTATCAAATTATTTATAGTCTAAGGAGTAAAAGTTAAAATTCATTGCCGAACTTATAGAAAAGAGTCCTTAGATTTAAGTCACAGTTAGTAACTGTTAATGACTCTGGATTTTAATGTATAAGTAAGTACTTAAGGTGGTTCATGCGTGTTACTAAACAGCTCTTTTTTTGGCAGTATTTTATTTGTAAGTTTTATCGATTTTGAGAAGAAACGTTGACTCTAAAAATTCTGCGAAGAGTGATAGTTTGACCTACTAGTAAAAAAAAANAAATTTTTTAAACGAAAAAAATTAAAAGAAACAAACCAGGGGGTATAAATGGGTCATGGGACTCACAGTAAGAACGAAGTTCTTTAAATATGAGATGAGTATAAAGAAACACAATTTCTCAGGTAACAAGGGGTCTCAAGACCCATAGAAAGAACGAAGCTTTATAAGAATAAGTACTGCATTTATGTAGTTCAGTAAAACAAAAACTTGAAAAACGAATGAAGAAAAAAAAATTAGTTCAGTACTCACGATGATTAAATTTTGTGAGTACTGTATTTATGCACGACGTACTAACGAAGTTCAACCATCGTGAGTACTGAACTAATTTTTTTTTTTTTTCATTTGTTTTTCAAGTTTTTGTTTTACTTAACTAAACAAATGCAGTACTTATTCTTATAGAGCTTCGTTCTTTCTATGGATCTCGCGACCCCCTTGTTACCTGAGAAATTGTGTTTTTTTATACTCATCTCATATTTAAAAAGCTTCGTTTATACCGTGGGTCCAATGACCCATTCATACTCCCTGGTTTGTTTCTTTTAATTTTTTCCATTTTTTAAAATTTCCTCTATTTCATTTTTTTTTATTTTTTTTTTTTTTAATTTCTTGTTTTATTTTTTTCTTTATTTCTTGTTGTATTCTTTTTTTTT